AAGCTTATAAATGTAATTCAATATACAAACAGTAATACGAAGGTAACTCAACAAGTTTCTCAAATGTGAAAGTATATATGTATATCACATTTATATGATTACTCAATCATGATCAAAATAAAAAGTTCATAATCCCCAAATAAAAAACTAATTTAACAAGCAAATGATTTCTAAATAAATTTTTCCAAAAGTAAATATCTTCCCACAAAAGTAAATGACGTCCCAATGTACCACTTTTTCTCCGTCCCTGTGAGGGTAAAAATTTTCGTTGTACCGTGAATCGCAATTTTCGATCACAAGTCTTGCGTGAAGCTCTCCGACATCTGCTTGAATCTTCGATTTTCTCCATTGGGGGGAAGTCTTTCCAGAGTCAGACTGATTCATGAAATATTTCCACCAAGTACCATTCACTGAAACTTTTTTTTATTCTTTCTTTCCGCGACATACAAACGCTTTCTTCGTGACATTTAGAGATTACTGGAAGAATATCTTGAGGTGACGGTGCTTCAAACTTTGATTACATTTTCTTGTGTTATTCTCATTTTTGTGGAAGTGTATGAGGCAAAGTGTATTTTCTTCTTCATGTTTGAATTTTAGATAGGTAGAATTTTTTACTTCTTGAAAGTAGATTTTCCCAAATTCCCAAACTCTCAGATTTCCACCCACAACCCCTTCCTCCTTCACATCCCACCCAATCACAAAATTTATTTCACCCCCACTATCATCCATCAGAAAACTTGTTCCTCGCCCATAAAAGCACCATAATCGTACAACGTTTTCCAAACGACACTGTTACCCTTCTCCGAAGGACATCTTCTCTTTCGCGCCACCCGATTTTACCGCCGCTCCGTTCAGACACACTTCCGCTTTAATGGCAGACCGAGATTCAATGGAATCTCCGGCTATTCTATCCTGGCGAATGTGTGACGTTTCCAGTCCCTCACCGCAGTAAATTCTTCATCCTCGTAAATCTTCAAGGCGAGTGTTACCCCCGGTGGTCTTTGCGGCAATAAATACGAATCGTCGACGCAGACTGTTTGACTTTCTCGCGTCCGCCATTGGCCTCGATACGCGTCGATCGTACGTTCTGATTTTCACGGGGAATTAAAAGTTCTTTCGATTTCCGGCCTTCACCATCAACCATAACGTCCGACCAGATTTCCGGTGACTCCTTCGTGACGAGGAATTTCCCTCGAGACAAACCGTGGCTTTCCCTAAGTTTCCTCCTGGACTGTCTATTCCTTTTCCATCAACCCCTCAGACAATATTCGCGCTGCATGAAAGTAGTATTCCGAGACGATATCATGGGAATATCTTAGTATTTCTTTATTCAAGATCTCCTGGCGGTTTCTCTAAAATTTAGATGAATGTTTCCGGGATAATTAAGTACTTGGCAGTTAAACATGTGGCCACTTATGTAACATATTAGTGTAATTCAAAATTTTTGTAAATTTTGGGGAAGGGGAATTGAGAAGAGAGAATTTGTAATTATTGTAAGATAGTTTATTAGTGTCGATCGTCAAGTTAATTTATTGTTAATAATTGTTATAATTATTTTTATCATTACTCGTTATAATAAATAATGCTGATTATTGTAATTATTGTTGTAATAATTTATAATCGTTTAACAGAGTAATGATCACTTTCGAGTATTTATAAAAACTCCAGCACACTGCTATCTCAAGATTTACAAACTTTTGAATTTGTGGGTTCAAAAACTTGTAAATTTAAAAACTTCTAAATCAGACAATTTACGAGTCTGTAAATCAGCGAATAATTCAAAATATTGCAATTTTTTGAAACTATAAATTAAGGTTGTCGAAATATCTAACAAAGTGAGTTCATAATACTAAAAATGTCTAATATAAAAAATATATCAGCTTGATAAAAAACGGAAATGGATGTCGGAACGTACTCTTCATTGAAAGAAAGTGCAGCAAAGAGAAGAAAAAGGTATCTGAAAGCGTCGGCAGGGAAAGTTTCCCGTTATTATTACCATTCTCGAAATTTACGAACTTCATCCCCGCGATAACAAGTTTCGAAAGTCGTCGGTTCGCGACACACCCCATCCGTATACAGAGACGCTTATTCGCATACTCGAAGCGTCTCGCCGCTTTTTCCCGAATGTACTCGTGGCACGCCATTTCCCGAGGGATAGTCAGGCTGGATGGAGAAGGCACCGCGAAGAAATTGATTGAGACGTATCTCCGTCTGAGACGGATATTAAAACAGCCTGCGCGGGAAACGAGAAAATAAGTGTACGGGTGTGAAGAGGAGAATTTCCCGTTTCGAAGGGAAACGCACAACGGGTTTGTTTCGTTGGCTCGCGCGCTAAAGGGGGTGGTAAAAACGAGAAAAATTCGGACGGATAAATCGAGCTGTCCGAACGGCCGGATTAAATTTAATAATACAGATACGGCCAATCTCGGAGAGTGGTGGCCGCTTGCCTTCCGTTCGTTAATGTTTAACCGCGTTTCAAACGCACAGCCCTAAGAGGAACCGGAAGAGAGCGCGAATGTTACCCTTCGAGACTTTGCTTCGCTGCTGCGTGCACGAAAACGATTTACCTTGGATCTATTATTTAAGAGAATTGAATTCTCTTGCTACTCGCTTTACGATACCGATATGGTGGTTGAAGATGTGATAAAGTTTAATCAGTGAAGATACTTTTTTGGGGTGCAGACTGGGGATAAATATTAGAATTAGAGTATACGCTCGAGAGACTGAATTTTCAGTTTTGAATATTAGAAAATTTTTGTATTATTAAATTTCTGTATTCTCAAATAATTTCCCCACGTCCCAAATTTCTAAACATTCAAATCTTCCATTCTCCAAATTTTCAACCCTACATTTCAACCTTCATTCTCCACTTCATTCTCACCACTTGAATACCAAATAAAGAACTAAATGCACATTACTTCTCATAATAAATGAGAACAAAAAGATCCCTCAGCAAACTCCATGTTTCATAATGCACCAATTAAAAGAGTGTCCGATAAGAAAGAAAAACATTTACCAAGGCCCCTGTCTGGCTAATCGATTATCTTTCTAAACGAGATAATTGTGCCATCGATAACTGTGCTCTCGGAGCAAGGAGTCGATAATAGCCGTCGGGGAATACTTCCTTCGAGAAGAAACAATCGACCGTGACTTTGGACGTGGCTTTGTGAAGGTATGATAATGGAACGTCTCGTACTCGTCAATAGATAGGCCGAGCTCTTTCACTTAACAGAAACAATACAATCGAAATTTCTTCCTCGAAATTTTTCTTCCCCTCTCGCGCTATCTCCGACCGATTTCATCGACTTCACAAACCTTTCGCTCTCCTGCTGCCACTTAAGATTTGCGCGGAAATTACGAGCATTGTTTACGAGGAAACAATGTGGCTGGAAAAATAAGAGACAACGTTGCGTTTTCTTCCAAACGGGAGACTTTAAGATCGTGAGATATTACGCTTATTAAAGATTTCCACGATCCCTTAACAGGAAAAACGGAGCGGGAAAAATGCAATTTCTTTTAAGAGACACTTAGGAAGTGAGCAATACGGAAATTTTAGAGGGAGTGTCTTTCGTGGTAGACATTCTTAGGTTATTATAATTACGTTCAATGAACGCTTTAGGAAACTAGTTTTTTATGGTGGCACTACTTGAATAATTATTACAGAAATGTACAAAAGTATAACAGTAAATATTATATTTTAACAAATGTAAAAATCTGAATATCCAATATTACTATCTTTATGAAGAATAATTAAGTGCATTAACATAAAAGTGAATGTAGAGAACTTACCTAATTATGGTTACCTTACCATATCTCTTCCATCATGACAGTATCATTAATTTCGACAGCTATCGAACAACACCACTACCCTGAGTAAAAAATCTTGCAACCCAATTTACCCCATCCCCAAAAAAAGTTCCGCCATTAGCATACACTTAAGAACACCATCCACGTTATTGTTCGAAAGGAATAAACTTATCGAAGAGTCGGAAACATCGGTCTCGGCTCATCAAGAATTTATAAATTTCGCTAAGTAAATTCTTGGTGGGGTTCGTGAGCGTCAATGTTATTACACCCTCGTAGAAAGTTCGGAGATGATAATCGACGGAAGGGTCCGCCGAAGAAAGTGGCTGCGCGGCCTCCAGATAATTTCATTTGTTGGCTGCAATCTCTTAGCGGTCGACTTTTGGAAGGTCGCATGATCCAGGTACGATGAAATTGTTCTGACAGGTGTAACGCCGTTTTACCTTCCATCCGAGGCTAACACGCTCGGAGTGTTCCACCTCGAAAGCGCGTACTTTATACATTATGCATTGGCGTGTACGGAATTCAGGAGCCGAAGATATTCTGTTGCTCTCGTAATAAATCTTCGACACTTTTCTTTAACCAGGGAATGGTATACTTGTGGGGAACATATTGGTATACTTGTGATCTGTTCACTTCTTACTGATACTCAGATTTACAAGTTTAAAAATATGGAAAGGTGCGGGTGTGGACATAGGAATGTGTAGGAATATCGAGATTTCTCGAGAATCTTTCTGACTTTAATGCAAGCTTATTTCAAACGTTTCAAAGAATCTTCCTGACAAAATAAAAATGCCACTCTTGCTTTAACCTTTTGGTCCAAAACCAAGTGCAAAAAATTATACCATCCAATGCTAAATCCTTGAAGTAACGTCCTGAACCTAGAACCTAGACTTACCCTAACCTAGAACTTTATCCTACACCTAATTCGCGAGAAATCAGAATAGCACTTGTCGAGAAGATAACCTCTTTACGCAATTATCCTTGAAATCCCGAGCGCGTCCTCGAAGACTGACAGCGTGCACAAAGCGCACTTCCTGTTGTCGAGACCGAGTTCCGATTCGTTCCAATTACGAGGGTGGGCCATAAAATCTGCGAACTAGAGAGAGGTTCGCGTCGTCTACGGTGTATACGTATAATCGATGTTTACCCCCGGGGAATTTCACGGCGTCTAACTGTCGCGTGACTCATTTCAGGCGGCGGTCTGGCGCGTCCGAAGATGACACTGAATCTGGACGCTGGGAACGGTGTGAACACCGCTGGAAACGGCGGTGGGCAGCTTGCACCGAAAAAACCTGCTGGACTCAGCCTTGGATTGCCGCTGGAGATTAATACCGCCCGTGGATCCGCTGATCTGGTTGATGTGGACCTCCCTCTCGAGAGACAAGGGTACTTCAAATTTATTATACACCCACTCAAAAATCGATAGGTGTTCGATATGTTTTGTGACTCCCGATACGAACGTTTTCATACTATTATTCTGGTAATGTGAATTGTTTAATACCAGGTATTCTGGTAATGTAAGCTTATTATGCGAGGTAATAAAGATAGAGTCAAGATTTGGAACGTTTTAGTGAAGACACATGCGGGTATATTCATATGAAAATTTATGAATGTAAAAGGTCAACATAGTCGACATAGTATGATTGCAGAGAGAATTCTAATATAATTTTGTCAAAAATAAGATGCTTTAGCTACAGTATAACATCTCGTGTTCATATGTACACGATATATGTGTTTCGTACGTTACCTCGTATAGGATATTTTTTTAAGAGTTCATTATTCATTTTCATTTATTTATATTAACATTATGTCCTCTTTTAATAAACTACATAATATAGAATTAATATAGTATTTTGATATCCTTTTTGCATTCATATTTTTAAGACCCTTCTTTTTGCTCTGACAAATAATGTTTGAAGTTTGGCCCCAACTTCTGTACAGTTACATGAAAGTATTAGTTCACTTTTCCTGAAAACCGTAAAACTTTTTATACGCAATTTCCGTAAGTCATACTTTGTTCTTCCTTCAGATGGTACCACGGATCCATCACGAGAATCGAGGCAGAAGCTGTCCTACGTCTTCTGAGAGAAGGAAGTTATCTAGTGAGGAACAGCGAGTCGACCAAACAGGATTACTCCTTGTCACTGAAGTAAGTTTGTAGATATCACTCTAGTACCTTCGAGTGAACTCAAAATGGTTTTTCATTTTCAGGAGTGCTCGTGGTTTTATGCATATGCGTATCCAAAAGAACGAGGAGCTGAACGCTTACATTCTGGGCCAGTTCAGCAAACCGTTCGACAGTATACCGGAAATGGTTCGCCATTTCAGCGTGAACCGTCTTCCGATACGAGGTGCCGAACACATGTGTCTTCTGCATCCGGTCATAGCTCAGCTTTTGTAGCGCATCTATCGTAGCGCCGTTTAAGGTGCTCCCATTTTTTGATATCCCCTTTACTCCGAGAATAACAAAGAACCTGGATAGTGTCCTGGAAAAGTATCCTCCAAGCTGATATTTATAGGAAAGACGGAGGGTATTGTTGTGCATAGATACGATTTTCCGTTGGAAAAATTTTCGATAAAATGCAGTTAACTCGTTGGTTGCCATAGGTTCGTTGACTGATATTGCAAAATTGTATTCTAATTAAGGGACAAAAATAACAACTCTGAATAACATGTTTGTAGTAATAATTAAAGATCAGGTGTGAAGTTTAAATCGGTCTGGAACATATTACTTATGTAAATATTATTAGCTTCTAAATTAATTACAAAAATTAAAGTTTGACATTTTAAAGTTTAACATATATAATTTTAAAGAATTTTTTATCTGAGTTACCACTATTATTATACATGTAAATTGAAGGAATTCTGTATGAGATACGTATTTAAATAAAATATTTTAATAACGTAATAATAAGCATTATACATAACAATTTGATAATCTTTTACAGAATATTGTAGTTCAGTATCTTTATAATTATCTTTGGAGAAAAAAATATTTCCAGCTTAATTGCTTTTCTTATTACTCTAAAATACTAATATATTTTAATGTAATTTATTGCTACTTTAATAACTCGCTATAATTTCATGCATTTGATCACATGTGCCATATAAATCATTTTCCCTATGGCAATCGAACGTGTTAGAGCAATTCGTACTTCCATGAAATTTTCACAGTCTCTTACATATGAGGCTATTTAACAATTTTTCCGAGCTTCCAGGGTGAAAAGTAAATAAACAGCAATCGAAACGAGATGGACAAAACTATTCGCGGGGAATAACACAGTACAAAGCGCGTAATCGGTGAAAAATTTTTCGTAGGCTTAGCGAGCAGCCCTTAAGGGGTCTCATTCGTTTATTCGTAATATCTCTCGAGTAAAGCTTTATTAGTGTCGCGAAGAACAATTAGTCGTTGTAATATATTGCAATGCTTCGAAACTATTCCGACCGTAGCGACGAGCCTCACGTTCTTCGATTAAGCCTGCGTCCATCGAGAAAGAACGAACGTTCGCAGAATCTGTCTCGTCTTCCCCCAAAACGAAATCGCGCAAATCCACTTCTCAGAGATTTTGCACTTTACTTTCGCGAAATCGATTCCTTGCGCTCGATTGATCGATACAGGATTCCATCACGATCCTGAAGAAGTACAAGACAGAGTAAAGGTTCTGAATTTTGAGGGAGATTGTAATCGTTGCACGAACGACGAACCTGCGAAGCACCGTAAGAGCTTTATAAAAACAAAAAACAAAATGGTTGTTCCTTGTACTCGCGGGCCACGAAGACCGCGGGTATCGCGTAAGAAATTATCGATGGGATCAGAACCGCTGTATTACAAGCGGATTATCTAACGAGGTGTCAGGTAACATGTACTTACTTAGATTTAAATGTAACTGCTAGGTGGCCGGATAGATGGCCTCTGCGACGGAGCTGGAAGCCAAAGAAATGAGTTAAATCGTGCGAAAGAATGAAGACGGAAACATTGGCGTAACTAGGGAGGATCCCTCTTCTAATGTGGAGACGCGTGATTTAATCCGTGGACATATGACGATTTGATGCACGCAAAATTAGAGCAGTAAACGCGTAAGAATCTAACTGACTCGTGAGATTGTAACGCGTAGGAATTTAATGCGTGGGAATCTAACGCGCGGGGATTTAACGTAGTAATTCAACGTGGAGAACGTGTTAGGAATTTAACGCGTGGAAGTCTAACATATGGAAAACTAACACGTAGAAATTTAACATAAGAGAATGTAATATGAGATGATTGGACACGTGGAAATGTAACGCGTAGGAATGTAACATATGAAAATCAAATGTGGAGAAATCGTTAGAATGTAACACAACATGATTCGGTAATCTAACGCGTAATGAGCGGTAATTTAACGCGCATTAATCTAACCAGTAGTAATTTAATGCGTAGAGATCTAATGGATGGTAATCTAACGCGTAGTGATTGAACGGGTGGTAATCTAACGCATAGTGATTGAGCGGGTGGTAATCTCACGCGTAGTGATTGAACGGGTGGTAATCTAACGCTTGGTAATCCAACGGGTGGTAATTTAACAGTCGTGTTGAAATTACGTGTGATATAACAACACGATATAAGGATAATATCGATGCAAAAATCCTAGTTACGCCAATGAGAGGAGGTAAATGAACGAAGCAAATGGCGGCGCAGCCATGATTCAAATGCCAAAGTTAATGCTGATCGTAATAATTTTAGTCAGGGTTTAGTTCGTTGAAAAGCGATTAGGCTCGGATCTGTATGCTTGATCGACAACGAGTTACTTTGTTTAAGAGGAGAAAAGAATTTGTTCGTCCTTACTGATCGGTAAGAGGAGAAGAAGGTCGATCGAGATCAGTGAATCCGAACCATCGATGGCTCGTAAATTCGAGTCATCCGTCCGACAGGTCTCTTATTTTTGAGGAGATTTTTGCGAGCGAAGGCAACCGATACATATTTTTTCATGTGATATGAATTTGTTACAGAGATAGCCTAGTTTTCACCTGTGATCTGTTACTTAGTTCCCTTTTAATCCGTGTCTGTTGGTCGCTGTGTGCAATATTCTCGTACTGGTACGATTATGGCTAACGATAATAAGTACTACCTAATAATGATAGCGTAATGGTAATAACGATTAACGATAACGATTTAAAACGATAACGGTTATATTTATTAAGTATGCTGCTATTTTAATTGGGTAATCAGCAACGACGCGTTAATCAGGCGCGACTAGAGAGACGTCCGTGGTGTTACAATAATTATTTCATGATAAGGATTCGAGTGAACCTGAACGAGTTGGTCACTTCGTGGTGAACCGAAGAACGATTTAGAACCTAGAACTCATGTAGCGAGTGCCGCGTAATCGGAATAGATTCTCTTTCATAATCAACTAATCATTATCATTTCTCCAATATGTTCGTGTCCCTTTTGTAAACTCTACAATCTTTTAGTTTGAAAATCCACATTAAACTTTTAGTGAAATCCTAACCTAAAAATTTTAATGCTTAAAGATTTAAAAAAAAATTGAGAACCTGAAAACTTGATAAAGCAGTCATAAGACCTTGAAAAGTCAAAGATTAATTCAAATAAAAGTTGCAGATAATTTAACGATTAACCCCAGAAAGAACTTCCATCTCACTCTTACTGCTTTTTTAAAATAAAGTTCACGCAAGATGACAGAAATTTTAAAGACAATTTTTGAAAATTTTCTACGTGCAAAAGGTACTTGAGTTTTTCTGGGGTTAATTACTTCCATTTGTTGATTTCATCGTTTGAAATCACGCGTGAACGTGATACTAGTCGTAGTGTGTTTTCTTACCTGAAGTAGCGATTGTACATTGGGCACTCCCTACCATTTGTCCCACGATTAGGTTCGGTATAAATATAAATACACACGTTGTACGTTCTAAGCTGCCAGTATTATTAACTGTAATCGATAATGCATATCCATGTTAATGTTTAAGAGGCATTGTATTGTACCCTGTCCTTAACGAATGATTACGTCGACGAGAAGTATACTCTATCTCTCTATGTATATTTATTTGACATTCTATTTATTGCATTGTGTCGTTACGCAAAAATGATCTTGCTGTCATGATTCCGTGTATACCGTTTCTTAATCTTTAAGATCATAGCGAGATAACTCATGGTAATCTATTAGCATAACAAGTACTCATAGCGAACGTAGATTAATGACGGTCATTCAAGGATGACGAGGTGGACGATGATGGCGCAGTCGTAAATTATGTGGTAGACACTAACTTGTAGATACTTCCTGTACCTTGAAATTTATATGAAGTAGCATTTAGCTCTAACGTATACACAAAATACTCTATTATTACCAAAAAATACTAGCGTATTAGTCGTTTATAGAAGGTACAACCCGTGAGATCGGAAGTGATTGAAACGAACTGGTCCGAGATATATGTACGCGTCTGCGGACGTAAACTGTTTTACGACGAACGGTTTAAGAATGGTGTAATGTGCAATAACGAAGAGCGATCCGGTATTTTTGTTCTAGCATGACAGACCACCGATGTTCCAAATCGACTTCACTAGATAGTATTGTGTACTCCGAAACTCCCTCTTAATAATAAAACATTTAATAAAAACAAACGATCTTGATTATTCCTTTCGGGACACCTTTCGCCGTTATGGAAACTAGAATCTACAAATTTTTTAATTGGGAATTTGATGAACTGTACTTTCAGAAATTAGGAAATTTAAAAAAAATATTTTGCTTTTTATTCTAATTATGTTGCATATTACATACGATATAAAATTTTAGACATTTTGTGGATTATGGACTTTACTCTAAATCTTCCATTTCCTCGTCGTCCATGTATCGAATAACTTGATCAGGGCTGTCATACATCATATCTGACACGTGTCTCTCTGCCTCCTCTGCAGGAGATTCTGCTAACTGTAAATGAAGATTAGATTATTAATAAGTGTGAGGTTTAGATATTAATTATTTAAATATATACCTCTTCTATTACTTCAGTGGATAGTTCTCGAGGTTGCTTCTTAGCTGATTTCCTCTCTGAAAAAGATGTTATAACTTGAATAAAATCCTTATCCTTCGCTTATTAGTACGAGACAGAAATAAATCTTGAAATTAAACAAAAAAATACAGCATGTAATTTGAAGAAAATTGATGTCAAATTCTATCGTAAGAAATTTACTTGGAACCGCAGCTGGTTGTTTTTCAACGGATTTTCGTTGTACTTGCAATGCAGAGGTTGGAGATTTTTCCTGAAATTCAAAATAATGTCGTGAATAATTATCAATTATAATAATAATAATGAAATCTATGAATATTATTATTTTGGAAGATAGCAATTACAGATGGTCTAACTTCATCGCCATGATCGTCGCAGTAACCAGGTCCACAGACATCGAATTTACCCGGCATGGGCCGACTCTTGTACATTTTACCATCCGTTCCTTTTATCATTCCTTCCGTTAGCTGAATTATTTCCGGTCCCCACTGGGTCAGGAAATGACCCATTCGCATTACTCTCTGCTGAGGAGTCGTCACTGTGTGGCTTCCTCCGCAGTATCGATTACAGAGATGATCTCTAAAATGTTAAATTTAAAATTATGGGATTGCGGATCTCAAATTAAGGAAGATTTGGGGATTTGAGTATTCGAAGATTTGGAGATTGCAGGATTTGGGGATTTGGAGATTGCAAGATTTGGGGATTTGGGGATTTGGGGATTTGGGGATTTGGGGATTTTGGGGTTTTGGAATTTTGGAATTTTGGAATTTTGGGATTTGGGGATTTAGGGAATTGGGGATTTGTAGATTTGTAGATTTGGGGATTTTGGGATTAGGGGATTTGGAGATTTAGATGTTTTGGGATTTGGGAATTTTGGGATTTAGGAATTTTGGGATTTGAGAGTTTTGGGACTTGAGAATTTTGGGAGTTTGGAAATTTGGGGATTTGGGGATTTGGGAATTTGTAAATTTGGGAATTTGGGAATTTGGGAATTTGGGAATTTGGGGATTTGGGAATTTGCGAATTTGGGAATTTGGGAGTTTGGGAATTTGAGAATTTGGAGATTTGGGGATTTAGGAATTTGGGAATTTGAGGTAGAGATTTAAAAATGATTGAAATTTGGAAATTTGGCAAACTCAGCACCGTACCTAGGCGTCTTCACCAAATTATCAGCTTTCGCGATTTTCTGTTTCCTAGCTTCTTCCTGTAAAGCTGCCTCGAACTGTAACATATTCCTACTATGAGGCAATCTTCTATGCTGCTTTCTGACTTGATCTAACTCATAAGTCAAATACGGCTTCATGCTTCCAGTGCAAGGTAAGGTATCTGGTTTAAACTTGTGAGTATCCTCCGTCTTCATGACGACATTTTTATCACAAGATATACATTGAATGTCCCTGAATAAACATAAGTACATATGTAATAAATCTAAATGTACATAATTAAATAAATATATAATAAATGTAAAAATGCAAATAAATACATGTATAAATAAATACACGTATGTATAGTAAAAATAAATTTATATCGAATGGACGTTAATGATACAACGTTCTATTTATTTTACTTGAGTAGCTTCTTCGCTCCAGCCGCCTCGTCATCTTGTCTCATTTGAGCCACAGACTTCACCTTATCCTGCAGCGACTTCAGTCGAGTATTTACAAAGTCCTTCAATGGCGTCATTTCGATTTTGTCAACCTTCCCCTCGATTTCTCTTTGCACTTCGTCCATAGCTTGCTGCCAAATCGATTCTTGTTTTCCTAATTTACTGATTGCGTCCTCTAAACCTTGAGCTAAGTCGTCGCAAGCTGCGTCAAATTGATCATACGATACCTAGGGAATAATAGGGAATAATACATTTGCATCGTCAATTTTTTGTCAGGTTAATGCATTGATTGCTGTTTTTTTATTGGCTATTGTTGTTTTTATTTTTTAAGAAAATTTCTCACTTTTCTGTTTATTGCCTGAGCGTCAGCTTTGTCGGCTAGGGCGTCTTCAAGATCTTCTCTATCTGCTTTTATAGTTTTCAGTAGTTCTACTTGTTCTAGCAATGCCTGGGAAAAATTCATTTTAATGATAATTTTGATACCAAGTTTACTGTACTTGAATTTTAAAAAATTTCTAAATTTTATTTCTGGATTCCTACATTCACAAATTGTTTGATTCCTAAATTCTTAGATTTTTAGATTCCCACATTCTCCAAATCCCTACATTCTTAAATTCGCAGATACCAAGATTTCCCAATTCCTACACCCCCATCCCCAATCTTAAGGTTACTTATACCTTCAAATTCCTCTAGGTCTCCATAAGATCTCTATATCTCCAATTTTTCAAGCACCTATACATCCTTAAATTCCTACACCTAAATCCCAATATCCCCACATGTTCCCTCAACATCCAACATCTCAATATTTCTCACATCCACACCCTAACACACATATAAACCTACATCCCTACTACACCATAATCCACCTTCTCCATAACAAAATACAATATCAAATATTTACATTAAGATGTATCTCACGATTCTCTCGATCGTCGATCAATCGATCCGCAGTTTGGTGCAATTTATCCATATCATTTTGAATTCCCTGGATCTTCGACACCAACTCATCGAGCTCAGCATTGCCGCTCACTCCAGCCATTGGAGCACTTTCCACTTTCTCGAACAAGCACACCACATCTTTCTCCAATTTTCCAACACGCTGTTTTAATTCTCCCAGTTCTTCAGTGTCGGCTGTTTCTTCAGTTTTCCCGCTTTCAGCTGTGGCTTTCCTCGATGAAGGTTTAGGACTGTCTTTGTCTGCTGATTTTGATGCCTTCTTAGGCGTTTCGGCTGGTATATCAGATTTTTCCTCCGTTGCTTGGCTGTGTTCATCGACACTCGTTTTCGGTGTTTGCTCTTGTTCATGTTCTTTACTTGGTTCATGTTTCTTTTGTTCCGTCGATATGTATGCCACCAACTCTGTTTTTGGTGAATAAATTGTTAACTTTTTAAATTATGTCGATTATTAAATGAGGAACTTTATAGTGGAGGAATATGTGACATTTATGTTGATTTCTATTTTTTACTAGCAAACTATTAACCTGTTGGTTTAACAATTCAGGAGCTAATAGAAACTTGTATATGTTTAATGTGTTTAATTAGAGTGCAACTTGTTCACATTTAACATGTGCAATCAGACTGAAACTTGTTCAGATTTAATATGTGCAATCAGACTGAAACTTGTTCAGATTTAATATGTGTAATCAGACTGAAACTTATTCACATTTAATATGAGTAATTAGACTGAAGCTTATTCACATTTAAAATGTGTAATCAGACTGAATTGGAATTAATCAGACAGACTTGTTCGTATTTAATTTATGGTATCACACGTATCCTCTTTTTCACATACCCTCAGTTAGGTTTAAAGGATGATATAATATTCTTGACACTTTCAACAAGTGTAATTTTATCAACTGCTTCTAACGAGTCTTTAGAAGTCATGAATGTCAATTATTACCACAAATAACGATGACAATTCTTTCAATGTATTTTATGTAACACCCAACTCAGAATTAACTTGTGATTAAGGTATTAGAACTCACATATGTGAAATTTCTGAGTTATAATCGTGTCCCAATTTGCTATTTAGAATTAATAGTATAAAGTCAGAATTAATGTGTGCTGCATTAACCACTTTTAACACCCACATTTATGATATTTATAAATTAGAGTTACGTCCCCAATTTGCTATTTAGAATTAATAGTATAAAGCCAGAATTAGTTCGTACTGCATTGACTACTTTTAACACCCATGCTTACAATATTTATAAATTAGAATTACGTCCTCAATTTGCTACTTTGACTTAATACTACAATTCACCAATAAATTACCAGATTGCGATTTGTTAAGTTTCTCGTTCAAACCATGCAGCTCATCTTTCATTTGAGCAACGTGCGCCTGCAACGTGGAGACGTCCTGACTCATTTGTTTCACGTCTATTCCTCCTAAAAGCTGACTTAACGAAATCCGGTGTGCCGGCTGTCCTTCGTCTTTCGAAGTGGCCGGTGCTCCCCCTACTTCGGTTTCTTCACCTTCCTCCTCGCCCTTGTCAGATATTATTTGCAAATTCTTAACAACTTGGCTCAAGGTATCGAGTTCCCTCTCTAAATTCGACAATCTGTTTTCGAGAGTGGACGTGTCCGCCTCTGACCCCGCGGCCGCCACGACCGTCGTTTCCCCTTTGAGTACGTCTTGCATCATTTTTGTCAACTGGAAATCAAAATTTTATTTTAGCTCTTGTCCTGTTTCTTTATAAAAATATTTTGGTTGTTTTTTTGGAATTCAGATAAGGGAGTTCAGTATGAGCTCTCAATTAAATTTCACGTTCTCGTAATTAATGTATTACATATTGATCGATCACTGATTTTATGGTTATTATTCCATCTCTACAAGATAATAACTGAAACAGGGAAGTTATACCTTATCAATACCTTGTTCACTAGCGTCTAATCTATTAGTAATACTGATGATCTGCCAAACATCAGTCACGGGATCGGTAAGTTTACCCTTCACTCGTTCAACAAGTTCCGGAGTAGTCGCTAATTCTTCCAAAGCTTGAAAACGTTGGCGAAGCTCGTTTACCTAAACGTACATTTCGATAAAATGAATACTTGATAAATGAAATATGAAATATAAAAATATCGACATTAAAGTGATGGAATATAAGTAGAGACTTCATAATTATTATACAGTTGTAAATGTTTAAATATTCTTTGAATTACGGATTGTTCAAGACGTTTGAATCCTAATGCCGTAGGTGTTGCGCCATCGACAATTGGTTCCACGAAGATGACCTTTTCTGGTTCGCCTTCTCCTGCAGGACTGACTGCCTGTCGTGTGCCTTTGGATTTTAGGTCCTCTGGAATAGATATTAGTTGTAATATGTAAATCATAATTTTTCGAATTTTTGGATTCTCAAATTTCTACATGGATTTCTACATTCCTAAATATTTAAATTACAAAGTTGCAAAAATTGCAAAATTCCTAAATTCCTAAATTCCTAAATTCCTAAATTCCTAAATTCCTAAATTCCTAAATTCCTAAATTCCTAAATTCCTAAATTCCTAAATTCCTAAATTCCTAAATTCCTAAATTCCTAAATTCCTAAATTCCTAAATTCCTAAATTCCTAAATTCCTAAATTCCTAAATTCCTAAATTCCTAAATTCCTAAATTCCTAAATTCCTAAATTCCTAAATTCCTAAATTCCTAAATTCCTAAATTCCTAAATTCCTAAATTCCTAAATTCCTAAATTCCTAAATTCCTAAATTCCTAAATTCCTAAATTCCTAAATTCCTAAATTCCTAAATTCCTAAATTCCTAAATTCCTAAATTCCTAAATTCCTAAATTCCTAAATTCCTAAATTCCTAAATTCCTAAATTCCTAAATTCCTAAATTCCTAAATTCCTAAATTCCTAAATTCCTAAATTCCTAAATTCCTAAATTCCTAAATTCCTAAATTCCTAAATTCCTAAATTCCTAAATTCCAAAATTCCCAAGTCCCAAAATTCCTAAGTCCCAAAATTCCCAAGTCCAAATCTAAAAAAAAAAATAAGAAATAAAATGCTCCTCTATCTAGCGTCAGAAAGTATAAACTACTGAAACTGCAGTAAGTTTAAGGTTTGCTTATTGATGGTTAGGTAGATCCCTTGTCTACCATTTTATCAAGAGAAGGAATTGCACTTTAGTGTATCTTCTGACAATGTAGAAGGTTTCTATATTACCTGGTCTTACAACATCAACTTGTATATTTGCAGGATCATCAGTCGGTGCTGGTTGTGCTTCATTGTTTGCGTCGATAATGCTGTATTCTTGAAGGTGTAGCGAAGGTCCAGTTTTTAGAGAGCTTACCATCGTCTGGAATAGCGGGAGATTGATTTTGTGTACGATTGATAAAACAGTTAGATCGAGTGTTGAATAATTTGTAATCTAATTTGTAAAATAATTTTGTTTTAAGCAAAAGATAATTTGTAAAAATAAGCAAATGGAAGCTACACTATATTTTAATGAAAATACCACAAGATAACAAAAAATTTTTACTTATAGTTTTCAATAAAGTATATGAAATCTACTGTGTTCATAGGTAGAGTTATTCGATTGCAAAGTAAATAAATTTTGTCGTTAGTTTTAAGTATCACAAGCATTTCTACCCTTCTCACAGCTTCAAAGTACGTATTTCGAATTTATAAATTGAGTAAACATACAAGAAGTCTTAAATTTCAGAAAACAATCCTTATATAAAACAATCTTTGACAGATCATTACAAGAATGTTAATTAAACATATTAGTGCATTACATAATCTTACTTGCACTCGATTAGCATCATCACCGCGGTATTCAACCTTAATCGACTGCAAATTTATCTGATGCAGTAAAACATGCAAGAAGTTGTGCAGGATGTTCAAATTCACCGCTCCAACCTAGCGAACGGAAAACGTCGCACCTGCTATTAAAATTCCTCTTATCTTTCATTCCACGAATAAATTTATCATTCTCCAACGAAAGAATCCATTTACTTCCGGCGTTCCCAACGCTAGATCCAACATTTGTGGTAAAGAAACCTGCAAACTGGCTATATCGGTTGCTGCCTCTGTTCCCGCTGCCATTCTACGTCACTCGAACAATTTCTCCGAATATCAGTAAAAAGAAAAAACATAATAAGAATCTCTTTCGATTCTCCCTTAACCCTGCTGTAATTCCGCCACTGATGTGTCATTTTTAAAGGGAGGGTGTGTTGGCTTTTGTTCGAACGATTTGCTACCTTCATGGTTGACAGTAGTACCATGGTTAAAGACATATATTATAAACATATTTATATGGATTAATATTATTAATTGACAGTATTGTTTTGTGACTTTTGGTTAGTTTAACAATCAATAGGAGGTAAAGAAGAAAATAAGATCATTTAAAAAAATAATATAGAAACAGCATTGTAATTGTATGATCGCTACATTTTGATCAATGTGGTACACTTTATTAAGGATCATAAAATGGTTGTTTGTTTTAAAAAAGATTTTGAGTTTCTGGAGTGATGTTGTTGATGTACGTTGTTAGATGGCGATGACAGTACTGTTCTCAGATTATGTGTATATATGATACATTAAATTTAATTTAACAAAAATTAAGTTCATAGTTAAAGTCAATTTACAAGTGTTATCATTAACAGCATTCAGCTCATTTTTTAATTAAAAAAAACAAGCCTTTCAACATTCAAAAATACTCAAATTAAAAAATGAACATTCTAACTAAAAATTTGCAATCTTTTAAAAATTTGAATCTCAATTTCAATCTAAATATTTCAAAGTTTAAAACGAGTTCCTTAAACAAGGTACCCAGACAAGTACTCTTTGTCCAGCAATACTGACCTATCCAATCTATTTATTACTTTAACCAGTTCGAATGATCTGTCATTCGTTTTTCTACCCTAACGATTGGTACTCCGTGACAGAAACAAATTACACGTTCGTCGAAAATAAATACGCGGAGAAACTAGAGCGAGGATTATAATCTTGTTGCCACAACGGGCTACAATATAAACTTCCATTAATATCGGAACCTCTAGAAAGTTCGCGTTACGCCGTTGCACCGATAAAGCGGAATTAATCGTTTTCCGTATCGGCGATATAAATATTACCGATCGATCGGCCCGTATCGGATGGGCATCGCGAACGATCGGCAATGTCATACGTCCGTGCCGAGTAAAATATGTACGTCGCTGACTAATCTGCCGTTTTGATCGTGAATTTGTTTCTATTCCACGATAGGAACCAGCTGTCACGTGCGCTCAGATAAACGGTTTTACTATGCAAAGAATGGAACGCGATGAATTACTGTTTCGTTAATATGACACGCTGGTAACGCGATACGAGACCGAAGTCGTTCTGAATCGGACACGTTAATACAAAAACGAACGGCTGTTGCATTTTTCAACCTGACAAATGCTTCCTTGTTTGCCTTTGAAATATGGTACACTGCGCTCCAGTTTTACTCCATCAAACGTTTTTTGCTTTGACGGACTATTAACTGGAAACGCAATTGCCGCCGAATTGGGAATATTTTTAGGTCTTCGGATTGGATGTCTATTTTGGGATTTGGGAGTTTGGAAATTAGAGAATCTGCGGACTTGCAGTTTAGGGATTTGGGGATTTGGGGTTTAGGGATTTAGGGATTTGGGAGATTTGGGAGATTTGGGATTCGGGAGATTTGGGATTCGGGAGATTTGGGATTCGGGAGATTTGGGATTCGGGAGATTTGGGATTCGGGAGATTTGGGATTCGGGAGATTTGGGATTCGGGAGATTTGGGATTCGGGAGATTTGGGATTCGGGAGATTTGGGATTCGGGAGATTTGGGATTCGGGAGATTTGGGATTCGGGAGATTTGGGATTCGGGAGATTTGGGATTCGGGAGATTTGGGATTCGGGAGATTTGGGATTCGGGAGATTTGGGATTCGGGAGATTTGGGATTCGGGAGATTTGGGATTCGGGAGATTTGGGATTCGGGAGATTTGGGATTCGGGAGATTTGGGATTCGGGAGATTTGGGATTCGGGAGATTTGGGATTCGGGAGATTTGGGATTCGGGAGATTTGGGATTCGGGAGATTTGGGATTCGGGAGATTTGGGATTCGGGAGATTTGGGATTCGGGAGATTTGGGATTCGGGAGATTTGGGATTCGGGAGATTTGGGATTCGGGAGATTTGGGATTCGGGAGATTTGGGATTTGGGAGATTTTGGATTTGGGAGATTTGGGATTTGGGAGATTTGGAATTTGGGAGATTTGGAATTTGAGAGATTTGGAATTTGGGAGATTTGGGATTTCAGAGATTTGGAATTTGAAAGTTTCGGAAATTTAAGAACTCGAAAACTTGAGAATTTGGGAAATTTAAGAATTCGAAAGCTTGAGAATTTGGAAATATGAGAACTCGAAAACTTGAGAATTCGAAATCTTGAGAACTTAGAAAGTTGAAAACTCGAAAATTTGGAACTCAACAAATTTCTACATTCTTGGGATTTGGGAAATTTGGGATTTGGGAGATTTGGAACTTGAGAGATTTGGAACTTGGGA